AAAGAGTCAGATGGGGGCTGCAGGGTGATGGGGGCAGATGGGGGAAGAGGGTGCAGAGGTACAGCAGCCTTGCCCTGAAGTGGTGACCAGTACCTGCAGAGCTTGGGACCTCGCTCTTACTGCTGCCTCCTTCATCCCACCAGGTACCAGCAGTGGAGGACATAGACAAGGAGCAGCTGGGTGATCCCTACGCCAACGCAGAGTACGCCAAGGAGATCTTTGAATACATGCGGGGAAGAGAGGGGGGTGACCAGGGTGTGGCAGCTCTGTCCGGGGAAGGGGTGACCATGCAGACAGGGTGACACACTGCCCCGAGGCTCCGAGCACCTGGCGGGGGGCCTGCATGGGGTGGGAGGGGGCTCATTTGAGGGTGGTGGTGTCTGGTGAGTCCCTAACAACTGGTACCTCGGCAGGAGAAATTCATGCTCCCTGACTACATGGAGAAGCAGCCAGACATCAGCGGGGACATGCGTGCCATTCTGGTGGACTGGATGGTGGAAGTGCAGGTACATGGGCATGGGGAGGGGGCATGGCCTTCTGCAGAGCAGCCCCCACCCTGCTTTTGGCATGAGACCTCAATATGCTAGCAGAGGCTACTACAAGTGTCTCCAGTGCAAAGCTGGTCTTCCCCTTCCCCAGGCTGCGGATGAGCCTGCATCCCTCCCTCTGGTCCTGGCCCCATGGGCACCTCTGGCTGCCATGAGGGAACCTGGGAGGTCCAGGCAGGCCTAGCTTCTGCCTGACACTGCCTGCATCCTTGCAGGAGAACTTTGAGCTGAACCATGAGACGCTGTACCTGGCTGTGAAGCTGGTGGACCACTACCTGGTGGAGGTGGTGAGCATGAGGGACAAGCTGCAGCTCATCGGCTCCACTGCCATCCTCATTGCCTCCAAATTTGAGGTGACTTCTTGTGCACTGTCTTGGGGTGCTGGGGCAGAGGGGGCGATGCCTCTTTGGTCCCTGTGGGTTATTGGAGAAGGCTGGGTCCCTATGGTGCCAGGCCACTGCCCTGAGAGCTGCTGGGGTGGTATGTCTGTCCTCATGTTACTCCTTCCTATCCCAAGGGCTCTGAATGTGGTCCCAGTGGACTGGATCCTGTCTTCTGGTGTTACTGGAGACCTGGCTCCTGACCACCAGGACACCTGAGTTCACCTCATGCAAGCAAGGCTTGGAGTTAGAGCCAAGGGCTGAGGTGGTACAGACAACACACAAGCCCCACTGAATGTTCTAACAGTCCTTTCAGGGTCTGGCAGGGCATGAGCCCTTACAGGGGCTGCAGACAAGTAGGATTTCCTAAGTGTTGCCAGGATAAGCCCCTGTTAAGGTGCTGAGCAGTTGTGCCCTGGCAGGAGCGGTGCCCACCATGTGTGGATGATTTCCTCTACATCTGCGATGACGCCTATAAGCGGGAAGAGCTCATTGCTATGGAGATGAGCATCCTCAGCACCCTCAAGTTTGACATCAACATCCCCATCCCTTACCGCTTCCTGCGACGCTTTGCCAAGGTGGGTGCAGAAGGAGGGTGGGGTGGTGTCAAGGTGCCTCCAGGCACCCCTTGTGTTGGCTCCGTGGGGTGATGATGTACGTGCCCTGGGCTCCCAGCTGGCAGCAAGGAGGGTTTGGCCAGCCCCTCCCAACAGTGTTGAGGGGTGAGGATGCTGGTCTGTGGCAGGCTGGTAGTGTGGGGTCTGTATCCTGGTGTCCCATGGGCAGCACTCTAGAGCCCAAAAATGGTTGAGGAGGGGAGTGGTGTTGCTCAAAAGGCTGAGCCTTTCGCTGCCTGTCTGGCTGTAGTGTGCCCGTGCCACCATGGAGACGCTGACACTGGCCCGCTTCCTCTGTGAGATGACCCTGCAGGAGTACGACTACGCCCGGGAGAGCCCCTCGAAGCTGGCTGCCAGCTGCCTGCTGCTCGCACTTACCATGAAGAACCTTGGTGGCTGGGTAAGCACCTGCCCAACCTGCCGTCCCTGCTTGAGGCACCCTGGGAGGCATCACAGGGGTGCAGGCATAGGTGGACTGGTGTCCAGGGGTGGTGCGCTGGGGCTATGCTCAGATTTGGGAGACCGGAGAGGGAAGATGATTGCTATACCATCACTGAGAAGACTCGGCTCAGCCCTGTTGTCCCTTTGCAGACCCCCACACTGGAGTATTACAGCGGGTACTGCTCTCAGGACCTGCATCCCCTGGTGAAGAGGCTGAATTTCCTGCTCACATACCAGCCCCGTGACAAGCTGAAGGCTGTGCGCACCAAGTACTCACACAGGTGAGCATCATGGGGCTCTGCCCTGTGCCTGCTGCCTCCAGAGAGGGTGGCACCAGAGGCATGCACCCCTGGGTGCTGCAGAGAACTGGAGGGACCTGGTGGATGGGTGTCAGGGCTGTGGCTGAGCTCTAAGCCGATGCGGTTCCTTCCAGGGTCTTCTTTGAGGTTGCCAAAGTCACCCCCATGGATATGCTTAAGCTGGAGGAGATACTGAAGAGCTGCTAGCCCTGTCTCTGTAAATAGCCTGTAAATAGCTGGGAGCTCTCTGGCAAGGGAGCACCATGTACATAAATTATAGCAATTTTAACTGGAGGGGAGGGGGGAAAAAAAAAAGTCATGTGGAACTGTTAATAAAATGTTGTGTTTGTCCTATGTGCTATGTCCTATGTGGTTGCTGGGACAGGGATAGGGGGATGGTGGTGGAGATCATGCTGAGCCCCTGAGCTGTGCTTCCTCTTGCTGTGCTGGGGCAGAGGTGGGGGGGGGAGTTATGTTGGGGAGCAGGAAGGGGTGAGAGCTGGAAAGGGCCAGGTCCACATCACCCTCCCCACACCCCTTGCTTTCCCCTAAGTAACGACACCACACAAGGAGCAGCAATGTGTATCTTTTCTCCAAATATTTACACAGCTTAAATACCCACATGGGGAAGGGGGATCTTTGCTTTGGCCCCAGCTTAGGCACACATATGGCAGCCCAAGCAACCGTAGTGACCCTGCTGCGGGCTGGACTCGGGGTCACGCCACGTTGCCTACGGGGCTAGACCTCTGCTTTAGTGTTTCCAGCTCCACAGACTTGGGGAGAAGCAGCGGCTCCGGGGACACCAGGGGACAAACAGACAAAGCGAGGCAAGCAGGGGGGGCTCCACACACATGGGGCACAGCAGGGACCTGGAGCCCCCCTGCCTGACCCCTGGTCCCTGGGGGTTGGGCTGCTGCCCTAGGGTGGGTTGCTGAGCTCCTTAATGGCCTGGAGGATTCTCTTCATGTGGCCCACTTTGGTGATCCCCAGGTCCTGCAGGAAGGAGAGGGGAGCTGATGTGCTCGTAGGGGACCAGCCCTCAGCTCTCGCTGGCAGGGAAGCCAGGGGGTGGAGGATGAGGCTGCAAAGCCCAGCTCTCTGTGCTCTCCCTGCCAGAGCATGGTCCTTGCTAGGAGCCCTCTGTCCTCTTGCAAGCGTGTCCCCATGCCTGGGCGCAAGAGAGGGCGGGGTGCTGTTGATCCTGCTTTGGGCAGGTGTACAGAGCCTTGCAAGCTGGAGGGCCAGGGCCAACCCCTCCCTCGCTTCCAGCCCCTGCGTGCAAGCTAAGCGAACAGTACGGTGTCAGCCCTGTGGGGTTGGGGCCAGGTGCAGGGTCAGCACCTGCCTTTCCGAGGGATGGGGAGAGGAGGGATGGAGGATGCCATGCTTCCCCAGGGCTGGGGGTCCCTCAGGGGGCACAAGGCAGGTTGTACCTTCAGGTCTCTCCTCTCCAGCAGGATCAACTCAGAGCCTTGGATGTCATGCCGGACAAAAATGTCTCTATACTCCCCTAAACCGAGCGCTTCCAGCCAAGCTGCCACTTCCTCGGAGCCCCACTTGTCCGCTACCAGGGAGGAAAACCACAGAGGTGGACAGGGTCCCCGCGGAGGCAGCCGGACACGGCAGGGCGGCAGCCAAGGGCAGTGGTGTTGGCAGGCTGCAGCCGGCATCCCACCTCCCGCTCTGGCAGGGCCAGAGGCCACAGCTGGCTCAGGCTGGAGAGGTTTCTCCTCTCCTTAGCTTACTTATGGAGCATCCTCGACATGACTTCCAGCCCCAAGGCAGGGACTTACCCAAAGGGCTGAGCTGTACCATAACCCCCTTCTCCCCCTTGCAGTGGTGGTGGAGCTACAGGGCCGGGGGGCTCTGCATGTCCATTAGCATAAAAACTAAGCTCTAAGGGGCTGTTGGTGACAAAGGTGACATCCCCAGGCAGCCAGGACATGCCCTGTCCCACTCCCAGAGAGTCCCTCCACAGCATGCCCAGGACTGGAGGCCAAGGAACAGCTCAGCATGTGGAGGTCCCTACCAGCGTGGGCTGCATCTGTCTCCCTCCCTGGCATGCTGCCCTCTTTACCTGGGAGCGCACTGTTGGTCTTCTGCTTTTGCACCTTATCCTTGTCCTTCCTGGGCTTGGGGATGTTGAGGCGAAGCTTGAAGCTTCCCTTGTTGGTGCTGCTGGCACTTTCCTACGAGAAGCCAGGCTGAGCAAGGTGCTACAGCCCCCCTGGGGCCACCCAGTGGGCTATGTCCCCACTCTGGTCCCTGTGCACCCACCTCCTCAGTGGGGTGGGCGACGGGTGCCAGCCAGTGGATGTCCAGCAGCCTCTGCAGCTCCTGGCCCAGCACGCTGAGGGGGCCGTGCAGTGCCTCCTCCTCCTGCGGCGAGTCCAGCTGTGGGGGACAGGGACCATCCCCAGCCCTGCTGCCACCACCAGAGGTGCTGGCTGAGGGAACTTCCTTCACTGGGGAGGCTCAGGGGGCTCCCCCACCACTC